ATATACACACACAGACAACCCCTCGACAATATGCGTTTTGGCATTGCATAGCTGCAAAAAACGCATAAAAAAGCATAATTAGGACATGGGTTCGAACTATATGGGAAAGAACGGGCCAGTAAGATTAGTTGGGAAGTGAACCCAGGCTGGAACGCACCGGGCGGGCCTGTGCGATCATATGCTTTTGCACCGGACTTGAATTACTCAGGTCATTAACTGTTTGAATGGCTGTTGCTTTACACCTACCTTTTGCGATCATCAGCATAAATCACCATAAATTTTGCAAAGTAAATGTATAATTTCCACTTAACAGTCGTTCTTTAGAAATAACCTAGTTGATCAGTGAGAAATTTTTGCGTCAAGACTTTAAGCGCTCGTACGTAAGAACCACGCATACCTCAACGCCGAATTTGAAATACTTAAGTTGAACTTGGACAGGGAACATTCCTTCAAAATTTCAGCCTTCTAGCTCTTCTGGTTACCGAATTAGCAGTTTTCCCGCCAAAACCTTGACACACCCGTGCTTGGGTACTCCACGTGCTTTGAAAGCTGAATTTGAAACTTTTAAATTACACTGTGGACAGGGAACATCGGCCTAAAATTTCAGCCTTCCAGCTCTTCTGGTTGCCGATTTAGTAATTTTCCTGCAGAAACTTCCATTTGCCCTTGCGTGAGTACCATGCATAGCTTGGGGCTGAATTTGGAATATTTGAGTTGTACTTCGATTGGGAATGTTTCTCCAAAATTCCTGCTTTCTAGCTTCCTTGATGCTCGAGTTAGCAATTTTCACTCTAAAACTTTCATACGTCCTTACGTGAGTATCACGTACAACTGGCGGCTGAATTTGAAATCTTTAGCTAGTACATGCACAGGGAATATCCCTACAAAGTTTCAGCTCCTTAACTCGTGTGGTTCCCGAGATCGCTTTCCCTCAAAAAAATTTGCATATTTTTTTAAAACGTCCGTACGCGGCACTTAGGCATCCAAGGGGGATGAAATTAAAACGGGAGGGTCGCGCACGGTATAGGCACATATCCCCAAAGTTTCA